TTGCCCCCCCCCCCACCCCCGAGAGCAGCTCCCCAGGACTCCCCCCAGCTCGGAGCTCCTGTTCCTGGGACCTCAGGGCCTCCCGGAAAGGGAAGGCCGCCTCTCCAGTTGATGGGACCCACCCAGCTCAATTGATTGGCGCAGCAGGAGCAGGTGCGGACCCCGGAGCCTCATCTCACGCCTGTTTCTCAGAACCTCTCGGCCAGGGCAGCCCTGGCTAGTCGCCGCTTTTCCTGACTCTGGAATCCCCTGCCTGCCTCACACACTTTAATGCTTCTGTCCCACTGCTGGATTGTGGAGATCTTCATATCACTTTTAAAACCTGGCTACATCTTCATATTTTTCTCTTTTAAATTATTTTAAAATTTCACCTATATTTGCTGTTGATTGCGGAGCAGATTCGGTGAGATTAAGTGTCTCAACTAATCTCACAAACCAAACCCCGGGCAGAGCGGGGCTGGGGCCTCCCAGCGACTCCAGCCCCTCCGAGGCCGGGCCGCAGTCCGCACAGGAAATGCCACGGCGTGCAGCGCCATGGCTTGAGCCCAGGACAGACGGAGGGTGCTAGTGAGAACAACTGCTGAAATCCAAATAAAGTTTATTTTTTAAATTATTTATTTCTCCGTTACAGTTGACATTCCATTTAACAAAGCAGAGCAGGCCTCGGCCCCGGCTGCAGGGGTGACAGTCTCGGTGGAATTTAATCAGAGGTTTGTTTTGTGTGTGTTTTTACAGTTAACTTCTCTTTGTGGCAAGTTGTCTGGGTTTTGATACTAATTTTTCAGTTTAAACACATTTCTTTTGTTTTTCTAAAGCTGATTTAAAGGTCAACCTTGAGCAGATAATAGTGCAGAATCGACGAGGCTTCTGCTGCGGCCGTGGGAACCGTCCAGGAATGAGTGAAACCTGGGAAAGGAGCAGCAGCCGAGAGCGTGTTTCCCAAGGAGAAAGGTGCCTTGGCCTTGCTCCCCGGGCTGGGCCCGGCTGGGACAAAGCTGGCAGCCTGGGAACACTCCCCCGGGCTGGGCCCGGCTGGGACGAAGCTGGCAGCCTGGGAACGCTCCCCGGGCTGGGCCCGGCTGGGATGAAGCCAGCCATGTGACCCCGAGCTCTCCCTGGGCTTTTCCCTGCCGGGCACACCACCTGGCACGTAGTAGATGCTCAGTAAACACCGGTGACTCAGTGGGCGCATGGAAAGATGAACATGGAGGTGACACTTTGGCGCCAGCTGACTCCTGTCAGATGGGCCTTTGAACCCTGGCTTCCTGGCATTGGGCACTTCCATTCTTGGTTGGGGCTGAGCCCCTCCTGTTACCAAGAGCACCCGAGTGGCATCTCCTGGGCAGAGGCTCCAGGGCCCGGTCATGCAGCAGAGCAGAATCACAAAGCTCATTGTCTCAGCAGGGAGTGCCACTCCCAGGGAGGCCGACCTGCCCACCGCAGCCCCGCCAGCGCCTCTAGTCTCCCTGACCTGCTCCACTTAATGTTCCAATTCGTTTATGGGCCCTGTGGCCTACCATCTGCCCACAGCGTCCACAAGAACAGGAGCTCTGTACATGCTGTTCACGGCACAGGGTGACACTCAGCAAATATTTGCTGGATGAATGGACAAGTGTCCCAGCTCTGTGCTGCTTCACTGTGTGACCACAGGCGCATCACGTGTCTTCCCGAGCCTCACTTTCCTCATCCGCCGAATGGGCTGGTCACTAACTGGAAGGTCCGGCGGGGCACGGGTTGGAGAACGCACCTCCACAGGCTCGGCTGGGAGAGGCACTCAGTGAGCCGGTGGCGAGAAGTCAGGATCCACTCATTCCTGCTGGTCGGTCAGTCCACAAGCATGTGGCCCGAAGGCTTCACGGAAGGAGAAGGGTGAGTGACACCTGAGGGGAACGGGTGGTGTGGGAGAGCGGGAGCGAGCAGAGCATCCGGTGGGGTGGAGGGTGGCCTGAGCAGAAGCGGGAGGCGGCTACACAGCGGGTGCGCCTGCGGACTCGGGTGAAGAGCAGGCCTAGCTTCCCTCCCAGAGCAGAGCCGAGGTCTGGAGGGGCTGGTGGGCTGGGACATGGGGCTTGCAGCTCAGTCTTCCCTCACCACGACATGCACTGGGCACTGGGGACACAGGGAGCCCAGCCTCAGTCCGAGGGACCCTGACAGCAGACGAGTTTGCCTCGGTCACCCTCCAACTAACACCTGCAGCAGCTGTCCCGGGTCTCCCGTGAGGCCTGCAGTCTCCTGTGGCCCACAGGCCCGAGCACCTCCCCGGCTCCCACCCCCTCCTGCCTCAGCCTGTTGCTCTGGCAACATGAATCTCATTTCCGGTCACTGTCCATGCCACCTTCCCACCCCAGGGCCTATGCACATGCCGTTCCCTCTACTTGGTAGAGTCTCCCTCTGCCCCACCCATCTCCCCCCCTTTTTTTTCTTTCTCAGAATGAAAGTATGGCTGTGAAGTAGGAATTCAGCAGAAAAATATTTAAGATGTGCAGTAGTCACCTTTTGAATAAAGTTAGTTTAAAAGGAAGATGAATAAACTGCTAGAGCTTGGACTCAATTTCTATTCGAAAGACAACTAGTACTTTAGGTATTTATTAAATCACAGCACTCCTC